GCTTTAAAGAACACAGAACGGCCTCTGGAAAGCTTTCAACACCTGCTTAGGAGCTGCCTTTTATAATCCCACCTCMTTTAATTCCATGCTTTCCTGTGTCACCTAGTGTATCCTGACTTTTCCTGCCCGTGTTAGAGCTGCTTGGACACAACCCAAAAAGCAGAGAGAAAAAAAAACTGTTTAAGTAACTTTCCTCAACCGTCTCCAGGGAAATCTTCCTCCTCCAGGGCTTAATTCCCTGTTTACACAGAGCTCCTCCACCCTCTCCAAGGAAATCTGCCAGCTCAAGGGCTCTTGGGGCTGGAGGAGGGAACGTGTGATGATCAATGCAAGACAGGTGGAAAGGAGAAGAAATTAATCCTGTCCTGCTAGGGGAAGTTTAGATTGAATTTTAGGAAGAAGTTCTTCACTCACAGGGTTGTCCAGCCCTGGCACAATTTTCCCAAAGCAGTGGTGGAGCCCCCATCTATCTGGAGGGATTTAAAACATGTGGATGTGGCACTTGGGAACATGGTTTAGTGGAGGGCTTGGCAATGCTGGGGGAATGGTTGGATTTAGTGATCTTGGAGGCTTCTCCAACTTTAACAATTCCATGATTCTTGGAAATAACAGCCAGTGGAATAGGTGAATATTACATTGGACAAGCATGTAATGTGACCTAGTCCATTTAATATTCCCAGGGTCTGCAATTGATTCGTCTTTGATGCTTTTGCCAAGTGCAAAGGCCCCTTAGATCCACAACTTTGACTTTATAGCATTGTGAGTAATAAACCAGGACTTCTAAATCGTGGTGTATCCCCAAGAACACCTCACAAATCCTCATTCAAAACAATGATCAGAGAGATTTCTAGTAGCAAGTAGAAAAGAGACAGAAAATGGCATGGGTCACTTCTTGATGAGCCCTCCAAGTGCCTCTTTTCCATGACATTTCATCACTGGTTGCCCAGGGAATAAAACATCTTGTGAGAACTTTCAGCAAAGGACAGTGAAGTAAAGAATAAGTTTTAGAAGTCCTTATTTTGCAAATTAGGWAACTGAGGGAAGGGAGGAAGTCAACTCTTGTACGTCTCGGAAGTTGGCTGAATTGAATCTTTGCCACTCCAGGCTTTCCTCTGGAAAGAAATTGATCTTTTCATCTGATCAATTAGGGGAAATGGCTTTAAATGACAGAAGATAATTTAGGTGGGATATTGGGAATAAATCCTTCCCTGTGAGGGTGGTGAGGCCCTGGCACAGGGCACAGAGAAGCTGTGCTCCCCATCCCTGGCAGTGTCCAAGGCCAGGCTGGATGGGGCTTGGATTAACCTGGGCTGGTGGAAGATGTTCTTGCCCATGGCTGGTGGTGGAACTGGATGAGCTTTAAGGTTCCTTCCAACCCAAACCATTCCAAAATTTGATGAATTTGTGCATCACTTCAACTTATCACTGCTTTGAAGTTTACTGTATATTTTCAACTTGTGATTTATGGGCATCAATAAATAGTTCCATCCACTGCCCATCCCTTCGTTTGGCTGATGTTCACTGAAATTCAGAATGGCCCAGTAATAACAAAGGCATTTTGAATGCCTTCCAACATGGAATGCCAGCAATCCATGCAGAGAAAATGGAAACCCYCAAATTAATGAGGAGATTAAATAATGATCTGGGTGAAAACAGTGTTTTAATTTGAATATTATTTTACACCAAACCCTGGAGTCCTGGCCAGGTTAATGAGRGTTGCCAGTAACCACTGTAGGAAATAGGATTGGGTAAGAGAGTAAAAATGGTTTTACAATCTTTGGGAAAGGAAGAGGAAGGACAGATGACCACGGAAGCTGAAGATGAACAAATATGTTCCTGACCTGCTAAGCAAATTTGGGTTGGAGCTGCCCGTTCTGTGCCCGCTGTCACACATGGCAGCAGTTTGGGTGGTGTCACACTCCTGTCCCTTCGCTTCCCTGGCCCAAGGGACTAAAGGGGGTGATTAATGCTGGTATCTCCTGTTGCAAAACAGTTCCATGTGAGGACGCCAGGAAAGGAGAAAGGTGTTTCCTCTGTTTCCATTCCCTTTGGCAGGTGGATCCGGCTGGCTCATGGACGTGGCGAAGAGTAGGATATCATGTTTGGGTGGTGGGTTCTGTTTAGGAGGCACAAGGTGGGGAAGAGCCTTGAGTTTGAGTCTCTGTTCAGGGGGAAGTTGTGAAACTGGAAGTGAAAGGCATGAGGTTGGAGGGGCTTTGTGAAATCAGAAGTGCCCAAGGTGTTGCAGGACTGTGCTGAAAGCCTGTGGGGTGTGGAGGTGCACTGAAAGAGCTCCTGACCCCAGAGTTATGCGCTGAGGGCAGCACGAGCAGGGTTTGGGTATTTGTAACTCAATAGTTTGAAGTTTGGGTGCAAGGCTGGATAAAAAGTAAAGACTTTGTAAGGTGCTGAAATGCATTGGGAGAGGCTGTGGGTCAGAATAGGACACTGGTGACAGCTGGGCAGGGACAGCAGGGACTGAGAAGGGCTGAGGGAGGCTGCAAAGCCACCACCAAAGGTGTTATGGAAGAGGACTGACAATTCCTGAGCAGTGGTAAAACATCACCTTCAGGGGCTGTGAAACCAGAACATCTCAGGGCCTTGAGCAGGACACACCACCCCTGCAAGGTTTGTGTGGATAGTTCTTGCAAGAGTGGCCAAGGAAGGGAGAAAAAGTACAAAAATAATGTTTCCATGACAATGCAAAGAGAGGAGGGGGAAGTGGTTCAAATCTGAGGGATTACATTTGCACAGGGGAGGTATTTCCCCCTGTGAGTGATTGGCTGCCTGGCCGGTCACGCTGAAAACACCGTGGCTTTTTAAACAGTGGCTGCCCAGCCCAGCGCTGCAGGATGACACAGGGATTCGGGCTGCACCCTATGTCACACAACCCAGGGGACAACRTTGCCGGGTGCAGGCGCTGAAATTCCCAGGAATTCACTGAAAGGTGAGAAATTCTGAGATGGGTCTTTGCCACTGCATCCTAATGGTTTCTGTCAAGYTTTGGGGAAGGGAGGAGAAAYGAAAACAATAGAGGAAAAAAGAGAAAATATTTACTAATGCTGGACAGAAATTTGCTGTAGTTCAGGAACTGATGATAATAATTTTCGATATGAAGAAAGCTTAATTCCAGGGACTCTCTTCCCTGTACAAGCGCTCTTGAACTGCTCTAAATKCACCCCTGCAATATAAAATGTCATTTTTTTCAGAGACCTGGCATTACAACAGCATAACTTTCTGTCCATATTCTGAGACATCTTTGTGGGGTCAGGGTTGTTCTGCCTCAGGCAGGCAGGCAAACCACAGGGAGGATGTTTAATCTCAAGGGAGAAAAAGACCACCTGGACTCAGGCTGCTATTGTTTGAGTTGAGCTTTCACTTATTAGTTATATTAAGGAARTAGATTCACATCCTGAATGTGTCTTGGAGACAGGAATTAGTCTTTCCAAGGGAATAGGATAAATAAATGAGAAYGCTTAGTGACTTTTGCAGTGTTCTTCTCCACGGTCTGTAGAAGTCAGAGAAGGATTTCTTCACTTCTGTTAAAGCAGAAGGCAAATTTATTGACATTTTGTCATTTATCTATTGCAGCCATTTCTGCTCCTGGCACTCTTTATGATYATACAGCACCTTCCAAWGCCTAAAGGTGCTCCAAGAGAGCTAGAGAAGGACTTTGGATGAGGGCCTGGAGTGACAGGACAAAGGGSATTTATTTTAAACTGGAAAATGGTGGRTTTGAATTAGACATTGGGAAGGAATTCTTCCCTGTGAGGGTGATGAGGCACAGGATGCCCYGAGAAGCTGTGGCTGYCCCATCCCTGGAAGTGTTCCAGGCCAGGTTGGACAGGGCTTAGTRCMACCTGGGCTRGTGGGAGGTGTCCCTGCCCATGGCAAGGGGTTGGAACAAGATGAGCTTTAAGATCCCTCCCAAYCCAAAYCATTCCAAGATTTTAGGATGTGGCCAATGGCACTGAGAAATAATCACTTGTCATTCCCTGAATCTCCAGTGGAGAGTGATGCACCTGTGGAGGCTGCAGTGGGCTGAGACAGAGCTTCACCAATGCTCAAATGTTCACAGTCTCCTCAAATTGAGTGAAAATTTGGTTGCACAGRGGCCAGGAAACCACTTAACCACTGRGCCTTCCTCTGTTCTWACAGCAGAAAAGCTRCAYAGAACTTGRGGTTGTTTCTGCTAGTTTCTGCAAAAATGTGATAACTTGTGGCTGTGCYGGGAGCAGGTTGTGAGGGAGGAACAGCCACAGGGCTGCTCTTCAGAGTCTTCATTCTGGAAGTGCTGAAGATGTCCCCAGAGCTGTGGATGGGATCATCCAGCTCTGCAGTGCCAGAAGTTCCCTGGTTTCAATCAACCCTAAAAGAAATCATAGAGTCTTTAAATAATTTGKGTTGGAAGGGACCTTAATGATCATCCAGTTCCACCCCCTGCCATGGGSAGGGACACCTTCTGCTAGACCAGGTTGCTCCAGGGATGGGGCAGCCACAGATTCTCTGGGCAACCTGTGCCAGGACCTCCCCACCCTCACAGGGAAAGATTTATTCCCAATATCCCATCTAAACCCACACTCTTGTCAGTCTGAAACCATTTCCCCTTGTCCTGTCACTCTGGTCCTTYGGTCCCTTCCAAACCAAATCATTTTGTGATTCCATCAAGTTCTGGCTACAAAGCCTTAGAACAAACCAAGGAAGCCCTCCACGTCATCATGATGGAAAGTCACCCTGGAGTTACCATCTCTTCCCTCTCTGCTCCCAGGTCTGAAATCAGGCATTATGAGACCCTCAGCCACACCAATCCTCCTCTCAACCACAGCCATCCATGCTCCCGGGACCAACCAGAGCGGGGCCGTGGGACAACCAGAGCCGTCCTACGCCATCCTCAAGTTCATGGAGAGCTTCTGCCTGCTGAGCTCTGTCTGTGGGATGGTGGGCAACGGCCTGGTCCTGTGGTACCTGGGCTTCCGCATCCGCAGGAACCACTTCACCGTCTACATCCTCAACCTRGCGGCCGCTGACTTYGGCTACCTGCTGTGCATCGCYGTGGAGACCGTGCAGTACCTGATGCAGTTCAACGTGGGCGTGCAGTTCGGGATATTTCTTTTCCTGGATCTCTTCATGTATGGCACCGGCCTGTACCTGCTGACGGCCATCAGCGTCGAGCGCTGCCTGGCCGTGCTCTCCCCGATCTGGTGCCGGACGCACCGCCCGAAACGCCTGTCTGCCGTGGTGTCCGGCCTGCTCTGGGCCCTGTCCCTGCTCCTGAACACTCTGGGATATGTTTTGTGCACCGTTCGTCCCTCTCCCAGGGTCTGCCAGCGCCTGCTCATCGCCATCGGAGCCTTGGACTTCCTTGTGTGCGCGCCCCTCATGCTGTTCTTCAGCCTCACCCTCTTCCTGCGGGTCAAGTGCAGCTCCCAGCCCTTCCAAACGGGCCGGCTCTTCACCGTCATCATGCTCACCATCCTCCTCTTCCTCATTTTCGCCGTGCCCCTCAGCGTCCTCATCCTCCTTGACTTCCTGGGCCACAAGTTTCTGTATTCCCCGGAGATCGGCTTCGTGCTGTCCTGCGTCAACAGCACCCTCAACCCCGTCATTTACTTCYTGGTGGGAAGCTACAGGGATCGGAAATTCAGGCTCACCCTCAGACTGGCATTCCAGAGGGCGTTCCAAGACTCGGCGGATGACAGGGATGAGCGGGAAACCCGGGACACGGTAACCATGTCCTCCTAAAATCCTGTCTGGAATTCCGAACTGGAGAACTCTGAGGTACTGGGGAAGGTTCATCTCACCTGGCCCTCAGTTACCCACTTTGTAGATATTTTAGGACATTATTTTAAGTCCCATCTGTGGTGGGTGAGAGCACATAAGAACCTGGACCACAGGATATTCCTGACCTATGTTTGGGCCCCATTTAAAGTGCCTGTTTCTTTCCAGTGACTATTAAATAATATTAATTTGATAAAGTGAAATGTCTTGGTGTTTGAATTTCATGGAAGGAATCCTGCTCAGGATTTGCACTTCACTCAGTAAATCCTTGTAATTCATAAATTCACAGTGCTGCTTTTCATGCAGATCTCTGAAGATGAAATGAGATCCAGTCCTCCTCCTGTTGAAAGCAGACATAAAATTCCTAGAAGGAGAGTCTATCTATCCCAGTTAATTTAAAATTCCCATGTCTGAGCACACAAACAGCTTTTTGTGGCTCACAGAGCTATCCTGGGCTTCCTAATGTGAGCATTTCAAGGACTGAAAGGATTCACAACCTCCAAGTTCATTTCTTCTCAGAACCAGGGTTGTTTCCACACCACAGAGCAGAAACTCCTTCCAACTTCCGTTAAAAATTTATTCACTGAGTTTCATCCTCCCTTTTCTTGTATTTAAGAGAAATGCATGACTGGATATTATTATTTTATATTATTATATTTTTGCACRTTATTTTAATTTCCTCCAGCCCTGGACTGAGTTTCTGCATTAACTAAGCATACACTGGGTTGAAATTTCTTCCTTTAAAAGAGCAGATCAAAATCCATGGCGTTTAAATCTCCTTTACCAATAGAAATAAATTGAAGGATAGGGGGGAAATACAGGAAACAGGACAAGATATATAAATACCATGATTGCAAGAAATTATTCTCTAAACCAAATCCTTTGAGCTACAAAATAGGATATTTGTGCTATCAGTCTGCCTAATATTTATTCTTTTAACCAAAATTGTTAGAAAAAGGTCATATGGGTAACTTTTTTAAAAAAAAAAAAACCTCACAGATTCATGTTCAAAATGTTCTCTTTTTGATATCTCAAATGATTTTATCATTGGGACAAACAAACCATTTCTG